GAATTAAGCAGTATAATAGTAGCCTAAAAACAAAAATAAAAATGAATCTAAAATATCTAATAACCAAAATTAACACAGTTATTCCTCAACAATGACGCCAAAAACCTGCTCTTCAAAATTCCGCAAGTGTGTGGTTTCGTTGTACAAGTAATAATCTTGATGAGAGAGTTATCGTTCCACAAAGAATAAAGCTTGATTCTAGTACATTTGATATATTTAAATTCGTATGTTGTAACCAAAAGATGATTAGTGAATAGCTAATTAAGTTTTATAACTAAAACTTGTAAAATCAATGAAAATTTGGTTTAAAAATCAAATGTGTGAGCGTATTGAATTTTCGATGCCACTCATCAATTCTTAGTTACAATTTTCAACCAATAATAATTATCACAATTCACGCAATTGTGACGATCGATAATTTTACTTTTATTTATTATTCTTTCTCAAGATATAATAAACATATGGTTACAATGACACTGTCATAATCCTAGTCCGAGTTCATATAATTAACATGCATTGACATTTAAGATTATCACACCTGATCGTACACGATCTAAATATTATTCATAACATTTGTTGTCAGTTTTATTCCAATAAGAGTGTTCTACCTACCATGAGTTTTTCAACGCTACGAATACGTAATTTATTATCTTAATGGTGCACAAACATTAAAACAATGTAATTATGCATATTAATGGAATCACAACGCAAGAATTAAAATAAAAACACAAAGGCTCGAATTAAAAATCAAGAATCAAAGAGTTTTGCCATCCATCCAATACTAATGATTCTAGCCTAGCTTGTTAATGTAAGAATTATAAAGAAAATAAAAGAAAGTCATCATAAAGCTAAATCACAAACAGGATATGCGTTTATATGTGGAGGAACAGCTATATCATGGAAATCTGTGAAGCAATCATTGACAGCAGCATCCCCAAATTATTATGAAATTATTGCAATTCATGAAACAAGTTAAAAATTCATATGGTTAAGGACATAACCCATCATATCCAAACATCATGCGGGTTAACTTCAACAAAAGATAGTCCAACAATTTTATATGAAGATAATACAACTTTATTGCATAGTTCAAAAAGAGGTTATATCAAATGTGACAGAATGAAGTATATTTCTCCAAAATTCTTTCATACGCATGAGCTTCAAAAGAATGGCTACATCGATGTCTAACAAATCCGCTCAAGTAACAATGTGGTCGATTTATTCACAAAATCACTACGACATCTACATTCAAGAAATTGGTTCACAAGATTGGAATGCGTCAACTCAAAGATTTTTAATGATAAAAATTAGGGAGAATATCTGTACTCTTTTTTCTTCGTTTAGGTTTATGACACTGGATTTTCCTAGTAAGATTTTAATGAGGCAGTATTTATTTTTAGTACTTCAAAATTATGTACTTTTTTTCTTTGTTTGATTTTTTTGTCCTATCGGGTTTTTATCAAATAAAATTTTAATGAGACAGATATTTTGTAATATATCATTTAAAAGAGTGTTGTAAATGGTAAGTTTATTAGTGAATGATAATTGTATCCCTACAAGTCCTATAAATTATGACCGTTGTATCCATGATTCTTCTCTATAAATATAGGGGTTTGATTTTTAAAAAAACACACAAATCTATTGATATTTTATTCCCCCTTCACCCTTTTATTTTATCCACATTAATTACAAAGAGAGTTTGGCATAAAATTTATGTGCCTAATGGTGTCAAACCAGGTGGGCTGGACATGGCCTGCTTGGAAACGGCCTAATAAAAATGTCCCATAATCTAAATGGGCTAATTCACTAGTTAGTAAACATAAAATTTGGTCCAGGCCGGCTAATATGATCAGGCCCGTTAATATTTTGAAAAATAAAATAGTGGAAATTACATAATCATAGGTCCTTAAAGAGTACAATTCAAAAATCAAGTATCAAGTTTGATCATTCACAAATCTAATTTAATATAATATCTCTACCCAATTGAATTCCAGACCCGATTAATTTCACCCACCCACCGCAAAACACTTCACCATCACCATCTCTTCCTTCTCTCTTGGACGCTGGCAATCCTGTCAAACTTCGCAACTAACGACGAAGGAGGATGCTTTGAAGGACGTAGCTGACATCAGGGACTGTTGAGAATTCTTAGCAGCGTCGCTGGGTGAAGTTGATTCCAACTAGGGTTGTAAACAAAAATTGTAAAACGAAAAATCGAACAGAAATCACATTTTAGAAATCGTCAGTATGGTGCCACGTGGACCCGGTCAATGAAATGGTTTTGAACTAAACCAAACCTGTCAAAATGGTTTGATTTAGGTTTGAGAATTTTAATTACGGTTTAAAATCAAACCGGACCGACAAAAAATATATAAAAATAAAAAAATAAGAAAATGAATTTTTTTGAAAATTCATCCAAATATGTAAAATTCAATAGTTTTGTCATTTGTGGGTATGTGTCGATTTCTAATTTTCTAATACATATATATTATTATTACCTAATAATCCTATTTTATATCTAATAATCTCAAAACAAACATAATCTATCAAAAGCCCTTTTCTTCTTCAGAATTCAGATGAACTTCAACCGACACTTGACACAATCTTGAGCCACCGACACCGCACACACTTCTTCAGATTTTTTACGCCTCTTCAAAGTTGAATTGTAGTCCATTACACCAAATTGGAGACAAAGAGATCCTAGGACTTCGATGATAATATTTGCTACGAACAATGTTTCAAATCAATAATTTTTTTGAGCAAACTAAGGTAAGAATCTGAAATTAAATGCGTTTTGTAACAATATACAAATGTAAGCTTATGTAATTGTTATATTTAGATATTATAAACAACTGCTTTATTATTGTGGTTGGTTATTCTTTTTATTTAATCAGTAACCTTTTTTTAGATATGATCATCACGAGGTCTTGTTGGATATCATTATTTTTTTGGGCCTTACATCTCGTTTAGTAGACTTGTATTGTAATATTATCATAACGTTATTAACCTAAAAAAGGAGAACAAAAATGAAAAAAACTATGTTTTAGTTTATTGTGATTTCACTTTGATTTAGTAGATATTTAAATTTATAGTAGATATATTTAGCCCATGTTTGAGCCATATTTTCCATGTTATCATAATGAGAAAATTGACCATTGGAGAGGAGATTGGGTCCCACGCGTGAAACAACAGGTCAACAAACGCGATTGGACTTGTGGGAGAATGGTCCAAATTTTCATTTTTTTGTCCCAAAAATTTGGTTCAAATAAGTGTGTAGATTGTTTTAGATTTATTACTAGTAAGATATAAATATATATTGAATTCAATGAATTAATGTCATAAAAGTAGACAGACAAAAAAATATACGACGAAACCGGTGGTTTAAAATCAGACCAAATTGTTAGGTTTAGGTTTGAGTTTTTTTCAAACTGTTCAAAATGGTTTGGTTTAGGTTTGGATTTTTCTCAAACTGGTTTAAACGATTTGTTTTGAAAATTTGTCAAAAATCAATAAAATCGAACCGCTTACACCCTAATTCCGACAACGTCGCCTACTGTGAACGGTGACTTGTGCGAACAATAACTCTGCAGATCTAACTTTTCTCTGTCCAACATCTCTTTCTCTTCATTCTCTCCTTTCCCATGCTCGCTGTAGATCCGCCTCCTCTCCAGTGAGTGCGTGGTTGGCGGCGCTGCAACATACTGTGAGCGACGATGTCATCGTCGTGGCCAAGGACGAGTGTGGTTGCTACAGGTTCTAATCCTTTTTGTTGATTTTGCCTTTGTTGTTGATGTGGGTAGTTTTGGTAAGGTTGTGGAGTGGTGTATTGTAGTGTGTTTTTGGTGGTAGTTTCTAGGTGTGGTTATGGTCCTTGTGGCTGTGTTGGCAGTAGAGATGTTGGTTATTGGTGAAGTGGTTAGTTGGGTATTGTTGGTGTGTTTGGTCGTGGTGGTTTCTAGTGTTAGTGGAGGTGCTCGTGTTGGTAGTGGTGATGTGGGTGGTGGCGATTTTGTTGGGGGTGATGTTGTGGCGTTGTTGTTGGTGGTGATGGTGGTGGTGATAATGGGGTGAGGTGGTTGCAAGTGATTTTAGTGGTAGTGGGGGTGCGATAGTGTTGATGATGGTGGTATGTGACCCACCATTTGACATATGTGAACATTTATTTAGTTATTTGTGACCTATGATTTAATTGTGACATAAAATTTTGATAATATGTGGCTTATTAATTTGAAAATCTGTGACCGACAAATAAATTGTGACTTATGAGTTTTTTGATTTGTGATCGATAAATAATATGTGACCAATACCTATACACATGTGACCATTAATCGCAAAATTGTGACCTATACCTATGCCCATATGACCATTAATCCGTGATCGGCAAGTAAACTATAACTTATAAGTTTTTTGATTTGTGACCGATAAATAATATGTGACCAATACCTCTACATATGTGACCATTAATTGCGAAATTGTGACGTTGTGACCTATATTTTTGCATTTGTGATCATTAATTGGAAAATTGTGACCTTAACACATTTAATTAATAAAATATTTTAATTAATTAATGAATACTTGAGTTTTGTATTTTTAAACTTTGAACTTGAAAATTGATTTGTAAATACTTAACGTCTTAGTTTTAAATTTTTCCCAATAAAATAAAATAAAGACTTCCGCTAATATTTGACCAAAAAAAAAAAATTAAATTTCTGCCTTAAAGAAAGGAGATTTCTAAATGACATACTTAAAGAAGCGATTATTTCTTTTTCCAGTCCGGACTCAATTGACCCATGGACCGCCTGGGAATTTCCAGGTCAACGGGTGGTAACGGGCTCATATAATTTTTTGGGCCGGTCCAATAACAGAACTAGGCTATTTTGCGCCCTAACATGAACAGGCTGATTCAAATCGCCCGCCCAGTTTGACATCTCCTGGCATGTTTTATTCCTGTTACGAAAAAATGAGAATCAACATATAAATATAAGTTACTTGAAAGTAGGGCCAACATTTTTAAATTGCAAAATAAAACTAGTTTTCATATTAAATCCACCATGTATGAATCCTAGAGCTTCAAGAAATTAGTTGCCCCCAAACGTTCTTAAAACAAACATGCGCTCATAAATATACCAGTAGATCATCTTCAAAGAGCACAGAAGCATCCAATGCTGCTACTGGAACAATAACTGCAGTGATTCAGATATTCAGTGGATACAACACAATAATAAAGTACAACGTGCTCAGTGGGTATGGCCTTATGAACGTGACTCAGGGCCCCGCTGGCTTAGAGTTGAGAAGTGGTTGCAAAGCTTTAACGACAATGGTCATGTTGGGTCGAAAATCTGCTTCATATTGAACACAAAGTGCCGCAACAGCTGCCATCTGGTAAACAGACAAAAAGGGATAAGGAATATGAATGAGTATTCATTTGTTGGAATTGTGTGGAGTCTAATTCTATTGTTCACCGTATTCGATTACCATAATATCTCTACTACGTAATGCATATTAAGCAAAGCCTTTTGTACACAGAATCAAAGTTGTGAGATTTTCATTGTAAAGCTTATTTCTTTTGATTTTAGTAAAATCTGTGTGTTTGCATGAGTACTTTTGTTTCCTGATTGTTTCGTTGCTTCTGGGCCAGTTATTAGGCTTATTCGTAACATTATTTTCATTTTGGAAGTGAAATTTCACATTGTGCGGAGTAATAAAATCCATAGCGCCAAACTTTTTTGTGCAGAAAAGCATGAAAACATTAAGAAAAAGGAAAAGACCTTCGCAATAGCCTTTGGCGGATAGTCATCATTTAGTTTGGGATCCACACACTGCTTCACTTTATCTTCACTCAATCTTGGAGTAGCCTATAGAAAGTTGAATATGAATCAAATGATTATTAGCTTCGGGGCACTTATTTTGAGTAGCCAAACCTGAAAAGAAAAACTCACCCAGGTTACAAGACTCTGTTGTCCTTTGGGCATGGTGTGATCTACTGGCTTTCTTCCTGTCAGAAGTTCTAAAAGAACAACTCCAAAACTGTAAACATCACTTTTCTGAGTTATCTGTCCTGTCATGGCATACCTGAAACATGACACTGAAGTTAGTTCAAAGTAACCCTTTTTAACTGGGGAGAGTTGATGAATGAACAATATTTAGCATCTTTCTGGTTGTGGACAAATTTTACTCCTTTACCATAATTAGAATGCACACAAACAACATTTCCGGATATACAGAAAAGAACGAAGGCATACTCTGGAGCATGGTAGCCGAATGTCCCCAGGACCCTAGTGGAATGCAGCCGAGCTGCAGTGTCAGAAGACTGGCTTGTCAGGCTGAAATCAGCAATTTTGGATAGAAAATCGTCGAACAGTAACACATTGCTAGATCTGACATCGCGGTGAACAATTGAAGGCTGACATTTTTCGTGGAGAAATTCAAGGCCTTTCGCTGCACCATAAGCAACCTTGACTCTTTGACTCCAGGTGAGAACTGGACCAGGTTCTGCCCCTTGCACCCCTTTCCTACCTGTAACACGAAAGGTTAATAATCAGCTGGTACTTTCGTATCATGCAGAATTTCTATATCCTAAGTTTGACCTACCGTGTAAGACATCATGTAATGAACCCATTGTAGCGTACTCGTATGCCAAGATTCTGTTGTTTGCCTCCAGGCAATATCCAATCAACCGCACAAAGTGCTCATTCACAAGTCTTGAAACTATAGACAACTGTATGGAACAACAGTGGCATTATTTAAGTAAAAGCAAGTTCACCTAATATATTGTTTTCCAGGAGAAATGAAAACCAGAAATTTGATATGCTTCACCTGGGCAGCAAAATCAGAGTCTGGCTCTGGAGAAGAACTGGTATCTAGCTTTTTAATTGCTGCTTGCTGGCCGTTGCTCAACTTTGCCAAAAAAACTCTACCATAAGAGCCCTCTCCAATCAAAGCTTTTGTACCAAAATTACCTGTCAACCTATTTAGCTCATCCAATGACAAAGCCGGTGTCTCAATAGGCAGAACTTTCTGTGGAGCACCAGTTCTTATAGCACCTGAAGTCCTTGGCTCTTGTCTTTCACTGCCTAAATTACAAAAAAGCAACAGAGTAATGCGCTGGGCTAAAACTCTACCAAGGGTTGCAAGCTATCTTGGTTTTAATGATGCAAGAGAAATTTCCACTAAGAAAAATAGTTATTAGCATCAATTCAAGCACATCAAAAACAGAGGTGCAAATATCATATTTTTCGCATTTCTAAAGATAATGATGAAGTTGGAAAGTATTGCAAGACCAGACAACGAGAAGAAAGGAAGGGATGACAGTAGGCAAAAATAATAACTATCAGGATTGCCTGATTTTTCTTAATAATAGTTAGGTAACTGGTTATACTATGCTTTAAGCAAAGTTAGATCCTAAATTAAGGACAGGAAGCTCGTTTCCGAAGGGCATTCTTCAAATGGTTATACTTATATTGTTGCCAGATAAATATAAGCTGAGTTCCTAAAATAAATTAGCGTGAAACCATCAGACAATTTTAGTTAAATGGGATACGTCATAGTCATACATGCAAGAAGAAGTAAATTAAAATTGAGAAAATGCCAGAAAATCTCACAAAATAGTGCCAAATGAACCAATCAGTAGTTGGACGTGGATACAGTAAGCACTTAAAATATAGACATCAAAATTGCTTTGATATCATAAGAGACATTTGTACATAACTATTCCATGAGACGAGTTTTGAAAATGCTCATGAAACATTGGTAAATTAACACCGTATAGAAATGACAGGAAAGACGTACTGCCACCAGCGCCACCACCATAAGGATTGCCCGCTCTAGGCGGGGCTGTACTTTGGTTTGCTGGAGGACCACTGTAATTTTCCTCTTCTGCACCTCCACAGCACAACATTGTTCAATTCTGAAGGTACAGCAATCCCAAAGGAATGGTTTCGACAAATCACATACGATAAATGCTGACAAATAACAATTGTTTTAGGCCCAATTTCCTGTAGTAGAAATAAGAATGTAAGATTAACCATTATCCAACATAATTTCAACCCAACTTCCATATTAAACCAAAAGATTTGAATTCAAGAAAAAAGAAGACAACCAAATCTGGCTTGGGAGAATTGTGGAATAAGATTATCAAATCCGGGAACTGAATTATTCATGAACACGATGAAATCGCTATTCAATTTAAACAAATTAAAAATGGGATTAAGGGAACATAAGGCAAGATCACAAGAAATAAGCAGTTACATTATAATTACACGTAAATATGCCAAAAAATAAAAAATAAAAAATCACTGAATCACCAATGAATAAAAAAAAAAAATGATTACATTGTTAGAGATTGTCAAGTGAAATGCAGAAAACCCAGAATCCCATGAATCAAAACATGCCATAAGAATCAGAAAATGTACCTGTATGAAGACGGAAATTGGAGGAAGAAGGCGGATAATTTCTCTCTCTCTCTCTCTCTCTCTCTCTGTGTATATTACCTGTATAGAGGCTACGGAGAAGAGATTTTTCTGTTGATTGTCGCGGGAAAGTCGCATGCAAGTCTTATAACCGCTCAAAGTATTGCAAAGCTACGTGCCTGCCTTCATCTTGCACGTCTAACAAATCACTATCTGTTTCAATTTAAAAGGGTGGTCCATAATTCATACTTTAAAACCTTAAACTTTGTCAAATGGGAAATGAAATTATTTGTAAGAAATTATTCCGTCAATCAATTTTGATAATAATATAAACAAAAAAAGAGTTAAATCTTGTGACAGGAGAGTTACGTGATAAGTTTATGTTACTTTTAAATAAAATAATTCAACAATGTCAATTAAAAATTTAAAATGACTTGCTGGATTGGCTTGTCTGTGGCCAACTTGATTGGTGAGAATGCTAGCCAGGCTGATCATTAGAATTATATAATGGTTCAGGCTAGGATCATATAATATTTTTAGAATTTATGGTGTATTTGATTGGTTTTATTTCTCATGAAAAATGTTATTTTTCCACCCAAGTTTCTATTTTTCAGTTGTTCAATTGACGTTTTTTCCGTAGAAAATATTTTTCAAAAGTCAGTCATGTGACCATATTTTTCTCAAAAATAAGGAAAACATTTTCTTTAGATAGGGCAATTTCTTTATTTTCCAAGCAACTCTCACACTCCTTTTTATGGAATTTGAAAAATAAATCAATTATACACATTTAATTAATAATTTTCATGCAAATAAGTTGTCGATAATTCAATTGTCTATAACTTTTTTCTTTTTTTAATACAAATTTCATATTTGGCAATCAAATACACTCTTCGATAAATCGCTTCAAACCCACAACAAACACGGCTCAAGCCTTAATTCAAGCAGGTAAGTTCGAAACAAATGACTAATTTTGCTACCCCTACTTCTGTTCAATGTGACAAGTTCTACAAAAGTACACCAAAACGTAAATTAATAAATATTGCGAAATATTTTTACTACAAAAATATTGTGACATTTGATGGAAGCTAAAGCGTCGAGGGTGCTTACTGTGTTAGCTATAGTAAAAGTACACTTGGACCACAACAGATTTTCTATTTCCTCCTTATATTAAAAGAGAGAATGTGGGGTTTACTGTTCATTTTTGTCACATAGATTTTCACATGAAATTGGTTTGAAATCGGTTTGGCAACAGTAAATTATTTTATTCAATGACGCTGTAACATTATTTTCACGTCATTTCACCATTTTCACATGCTGTTTTACTGTAATGTCACATCCACTATAATATTTCTCCATTTTCACACACTACTTCACTTGATTAAAGGCAATGTCATATATTATATAATAAAAAAAATGAAATTAAATATAAAGTTTATTAAAAAAAATGCAGATAAAAATAGAAAAAAATATTATAAAGTTTTTAAATTAAATTAAAACGATTTAAAAAAAATATTTTTTAATTCAAATTTAACGAATGTCTTTAAATCATAAGGAATGTATAAAGATTATTTTATTAAACCAAATTAAACAAATAAAATAAAATAAAGTTACAAAAATTAAATAAATAATACATAAATATTATTTAATTAATTAAAATTGAAAAAATTAAATTTAAAAATCTCTCCGTAGACGGAGAGAATCTCTCCATCCGAAAAGAGAGTTTTCTCCTTTTGATTTTTCAAAAGGAGAGAACTCTCTTTTTGCTCTCTTTTGCACAGAGTGATAACACTGCGTGCACGGAGTGGTGATAATTTAATTTTTTAAATTTTATTTATAGTAATTTTTTATTAATAAATATTTAATTTAAAAAAATCTTTCCATATCTTAAAATGAGAGAATGTGAGGTTTACTGTTCATTTTATTAGTGATAATATTTCTTTAAATATCTTTTTACATAAAAGTTATTCTTTATTTTTAAAATGTAAAAGGTTACTTATAACTAAAAAGATCACTTCAAATTATTTAAAAGTAAAACGAACTTATAATTACAAAAGTTACTTATAAGTAAAAAAATATTAACTTCAAATTTTTTAAGTATAAATATTTAGATATATTTAGTTTTTTAAATTAAATATTAATAAAAAGATTGCACTATTTAGAATGTAAAAAGTTACTTAAGATAAAAAAAAAATCATTTCAAATTATTTAAAAGTAATAACAAAAACTTATAATTGTAAAAGTTACTTATAGATAAAAAAAAATATTAACTTTAACACTTTTAAGTAAATATTTAGATATATTTAATTTTTTAAATTAAATATTAATAAAAAATTACTATAATTAAAAAAAAAAAGAAGAAGAAAGAAAGTTAACTCCGTGCACGGAATGATGAATAATTAATTAAAAAAAATGTTAACTCCGTGCACAGAGTGATCAATAAATATGAAAAACATATGTTTTTTTTTTTTTGGTAGTAAAAAAAATTAATATTTAATTTAAAAAATTGAATATATCTAAATATTTATTTAAAAATGTTGAAGTTAATATTTTTTTTTATCAATAAGTAGTTTTTACAATTATAAGTTTTTGTATTACTTTTAAATAACTTGAAGTGATTTTTTACGTATAAGTAATTTTTTACATTCTAGTAGTGTAACATTTTTATTAATATTTAATTTAAAAAACTAAACATATCTAAATATTTATACTCAAAAAATTTTAAGTTAATATTTTTTTACTTATAAGAAACTTTTGCAATTATAAGAGAATGAGGGATTAATATGTTTTTACCTATAAGTAGCTTTTACAATTATAAGTTTTTTATTACTTTTAAATAACTTGAAGTGCTTTTTTACTTATAAGTAATTTTTACATTCTAGATAATGTAATATTTTTATTAATATTTAATTTAAAAAACTAAATATATCTAAATATTTATACTTAAAA